TCATTATTCACATGCGGGCAAGATCGCCTTAGATGTTGTCCGTCAAAGGTGCTATTAACTCTATCTAGGGCGCTCTTAGCGTGTGAGTGCCTGCTACACATGAATTAGACATCTAACCTCGTGCTATGGTGGCTGGCATGAGGGCACTAGCAAAAAGAACCGAATTATTTGCTCTCGGGATGTCCAACACCTGGAAAGTAGCAGTATGTCGGAGCTAATTTCACGCTACAGTGAAAAACTGTGTGCGTTATCTATCGTTTTTAATAGCAAAGATCAGGTGATTGACAGGTAGAGGTCCCACTTACGAGGGGGTACCCTGAAAACGAGGATTAGTGTCTGTAGGCATGCAGGTTGACAGTACTTCCCTCTCCTCCGCTAGGTACGTTTAGTAGACATTCTTCCAGCTCAGTTGGTCACTTAGCGTTCATAGGAAACCAGTGCAGCAGTCAGAAGGACTATTTAATTAAACTCCCTCCCAATGCTCTTGACGACCTTATGATATCAAACTTTAAGGAGCAAAACGCCAACATAAAATTCTGTTTTATCTTACAGAACATAGCTGTAAAAACATGTTAACGCTTGGAGAAAATTCATTGGAGGGAAGCCAGGTGAGAATTTACGAATGGGTTGCCCGGTTCCGAAATGGTCAAATATCGCTTGAAGAAGAACCCCGTTCAGGTTTCCCCCCAACGTCCACAACAGACGAAAATGCTTTTTTGAAAGTGCCCGATGCCATCGCGTTTTATCGCCGCGGAACAATCGGTGAAGAATGCAAGAATGCACGTCGAAGAATTTGTTCCTTATGGAATCACAGTAAACCAACATTACCAGCTGCAAGTGCTGGAGCGATTGAGTGAGGTGTTGAAAAAATGACCTGAATCGTGGCGATAGGAGGACCGGCTGTTTTATCATGACAATGCGCATGCCCACATAGCATTCGAAAGCAATCAATTTTGGCAAAAATGGCATGACACCGCTTTCTCATCTTCCTTCCTCGTCCGACCTACCCCCTCCCCTCCCCTCCCTGAGACTTCTTATTGCCAGAAATGGAGAAAAACCTAAAGGAAAGGCGCTTTCAGGGCGTAGGAGAGGTTAAGATAAAAATCGCGGTAAAAATAAATTAAATGACCCCTATTCCAAGTAGTTCTGGTGGTTTTGCGCCTAATTCCGGGAGAGGAAAATATTCCTGTGTTCTAATCCTAACACTAGTCCTCACATAAAACTAAACCATTGCTCTTATCTTAATCCTGCCCATATCCAAAACCCTAACCCTATAGGCAGCAATAACTCTTAACTTAGCCTTAAATAATCTTAATGCTAACTGAGAATATACGCGATCGCTAGGAGAAAAAGTTCACGCCCCAGCTTGTATCCGAACGCTAATCTGGCTGTAAGCATAACACTAGTCTTGCTTATAACCTAAACTTAGTTTCCCTGGACTTTGGCACAAAGAAACCTGTAGTGCGGGCATGTTTTCATGTGTTGTGAGGCCATATAAGTCATCCTTACCGAAAACGCTACAGGAACTTAACAGAAGTAGTTCAGTAACTTACAAAAAATGCTTCGAAAATCCGTTGGGGCAGTACATTTAGGGGACTAGTGTTTTTTAAGATGATATCTTAAATATAAAATTGAAACAAATAATAATTCCTGTTCTGAGTATCCGCTCGTATTGCCAAATTTGCGAAAAATAGTGTTGCTTACCTAGATAATTTCC